TTGAGTTAATACATCTTGTCCGGCCAAGTTCCTACATGGACTAGTTTGTCCAATAAGTAGGATTGCCGTCAATGCCACTTTTACAATCACGAGTTTTCCCCTGTCGATAAATTTACCATAATGTTATGTCGTCGATCTTTGTCGCAAAAGGGAGAAGATGTTGTTGAATTTCGAATAAAGAGCGAAATTTCTAGAGAGGCCACTCTATGGTTGGTTTCCAACCGACATTTACTGCCAGAGTGAGAATGCGCTCGTGTGGAAACGCTGCTTAATGATCCTTGGTTTCTTCGTTCTCGATTTTATACGCGTAGCAGGAGAAAAAACTTTGTTAAGCCTGTATCATATTTGATTAAATTGATTAATTTTTGTTCGAAAGAATAGAGATTGTGTATTCGATTATAGGGAAAATTGTGTTCGTTTTTTTGTATTTATGTGCTTTTTGAAAAAAAGTAATGTGTTTATAAAAATTTCTAAAAGTTTATAAGTTTGTAACGATATAATATAGTTGTTAATACTTTGATAAGCATTTTGAAAAGTTTGATTTGTGTGTTCATTTCTTTTTAAAATTTATGTGTTTTTTAAAGAAAAGTTGACAATATACATATAAAAGTTAACGAGATTTGTGATAGTTATATAATGTAAATGTTTTAATGAGCATTGTGAAAATTTTGATTTGGAATCTTTGTAAATTTATTGATTTTTACATTTGATAAGAAAAATAAAATATTTATGAATTATATGCGAAAAGAATTTAAGATATTATATGTATAAATTAAGTTCTTTCTTGAAAAATCGTAAAAATAACATTGACCTTTTGGTATGGTAAAGATATATGATATAGCTTTAAAAATAATCAGAAGTGAACGATAGAAATATCAACAGGATATATTATAAAGAATTTATACGAACTTATTACGAATTGTTTTAATTTTTCTGGCCAAACCTTATTAGTATATTATATAATAACTATAAGAGATAAGAAGGAAATGTCAAATATTTTTATTTCATTATACATGTAATACACGATAAAAAAAAGTTTATTGTCAATTCAGTCACTAGTTGTTAATAATCTATTTCATAATGTTTATTGTATCAATAAATGTAAAAGTGATAAAGATAAAAAATTAAATTTTTATATATAATCATATCAATTTTTTTATATATCATTTCTTTTTTATTTATAATCATAGAAAAATACCAATAAATTTGAAAAAAGGAATAATATTTTGTATATTTATGTTACATATACAATAATTTTTTTTCTTCTAATACAAAATATTTATTCTATATATTTATTCTATAATTAAAATTTAATAAATATCAATCAAATAATTAAACATGTTTAATTCAATTCCAATCGAATCAATCAAATTAAAACTACGCGTAATTACCATAACCTCTTATTTCATCATAAAAGATTCTTTCATCGATTTTTTAAATAATCGAATCTTGAATAATTGAAATTATTCAAAATGGAGGAAAATAAATCGAAATCGTGAATCGAAAATACGTCATTACATTCTCGTTCTCGAAAATGTGTGAATTCGATTATTCGCGAGTTCTTTAGTAGAATGTGCGGATGGTCACGTATAACATCTTTCATTTGAATTCATCTCGCAACAAAAGTATATATATTCTAAAGCCGGCTTATCTTTTGAGCGACACCGTTCCAAAATTCGTTCTCATGGCTTATCACAGAGAATTTGCGTGCTAGATATTCAATTCTTTCCGAGAAATCCTCTCGAAAAACATGTGACGTTCTCGAAATTCAAGAAATCGTTTTTGAGAAACCAGTTAAGCTTTTTTTCCTTGCAAATTGTAAATAATGATTATTAATATTGATTGGATAAGAATCTATATGTTTTGTGCTCTATTAATCAAGATAATTGTTAAAATATTATATTTTTTATTGAATAAATTAAAATATTTTTTGTTTTAAGAATAAGTGCAGGACCTATATTGAGATAATAAACTAAACAACAAAAAATTTAATATTTGTTAGAAGTATATTTCCTATTGAAAAAATGAAAATATTTTCTGTTTTGGAATAGTAAAATGAAAACCATACAATGGAAAATTGAATTGAATAAATTCTTTTTTCTTTAATTAATTGATTTGATATCTTTTTTATTTAAATTTGAAGTTCTGCTTATTTTATCATTTATTTAATTTTATATAAATATAAAAGATCTTTTTTACAATAGAAAAATAAGAAATTTTTATAGAAATTTAATATCAAATGAGAAAATAATATTAAAATATAAGTAATTAATAAATACAAATTCATATTATATTATTTATAAAATAAGAAATGAAATATAACAAAAAAAAATATTTTCATTAAACAAATGTTAAAAATATTATTATAAATACATAGTCTAAAAATACATTTCTTTCATCTCTGGTATTTATAATGGATCAATTATGGAACGTGTTAAAAGAAACTCTCGCAAAGAAAGGAAGATACAAAAATTCGGTGAGCAACGAAATTTACGAACTTTCGCTTTCAAGAAACATTTCACGAACGATTTTTATTGTTTTCCGTTAGTCTCACTTTCCATTTGAAATTACACACACAATATATTTGTATAAATGATTTTTTTTTTAATTTTGGAAACTAAGTTTAAAATTATATCTATTGATGTTTTCACGTTGTTTCACATGGAAATTTTAGAATAATGATATGTGATTATATGCTATTATTTTTTGATATAAATCTTGACAAAACAAATTTATTGACTGTAGATCTTATCGTGATACACGGCAACAATTTTAATAATGAAGAAATTATTAACCACACGCGTATTATGTCATATATATGATCCTATCTAATAATTTTCTATATTTTTTTCTTTATTTATTCAGAACTTTTTATATTGACAAATTTACGTCAAAATGATAATTTAATTCATGACACATATTATAGAATAAAAAAATAAACTTATTATATCCAGAATTAAAAATATTAAGAAAAAAGAAATCTTATCTTTAATTTTAAAGATCTTCATCATTATTCAAAAATCCTTCAAATCTGATATACAAATATCATATAAAATATTATTCTATCAAAATAAAATTCTTGAAATCTAGTATTTCTTTTAATTTTTCTTCTAACTATAATAATAAGAATAAAAATATAAAAATATTTCTTCACAATATCAAACACAATATCCATAAATATCCAGTTATGTCCACAAGATATCTCCCCACTGAGATAACCCCGAGATCATCTGGTCGCTCCATTTTTCGTAAAATATCTTCGAATTGTCGAATTGTGCTCGATTTCTCAGAAACAATCGCAACCCAGATCAGGCGAACGTTTGTGCGACAAATCAATTTTTGTTCCTTGGAACGTGCCAAGACGAGAGTGAAAGTTGCACGCATACTACTCGCTCGATTTCTGTACTTCAGTCAGCAATTATTTCAGTTTTTCTTTGTTCGAGAAAATTTCATTTATAATATATATAAATATATGCGAATATTCTTGCATAACACGTTTTCAACGTCCTTCGATCGAACATGGTCCCTTCAAATATACACAGATTTTCACATTTCATGGAGGATCGTTTGAGTAACCAGTAATTTTCGTCAATTTAAGAGAGGGTTGGAAATTGGCTCGAGTTAGCGATGGGATGAAGTTTAATATGTACACACGAATACAAATAAAATAAAAGTTCCATCTTTAATTTTAATACTTATAAGAAATCACGTTTTACTTTTTTGTATTTTTTATGCGTTTAGATTGTATTTAATTGTGAAATATTAATTTGTTTATTTCACTTTTCCATTCATTTTAAGAATTCAAGAATTCATAAAGGAATTCATTATTTCATTATAAAGTATTCACTGCATAGAATTCGATTATTCAATTATTCATAAGAGATCATATTTAATTTTTCAATATAAAAAGCTTCATGAGTTTTACTCATCATATTTCATTTTCATATAAAAAGTTAATTTCATTCGCTTTATTCATTTCATTCAATTTTGATTATTATTTAGTCATAAGAGATTATCTCATTTAATCTTCAAATAAAAAAGATTCATTTCTATCATTATTCATGAAAGACCATATTACTTGCAATATACTTGTGCCCATCACTATTCAGAATTAACCAAGAATCGAACTAAATTTCGTTTTAGCTCTTTGGATACTTTGATCGCAAATCGTGATTCTCGCATTATTTTTTTTCACGGATGCATCGGTGTTTCGGTCATTTCTCCGAATATTATCGTCCAAAGGCAATTTGGCCGTGATTGTACCGCTGATATCGTGTCGTTCCCGATGGAACAACTCGGCATAACGAGTGGTAATCGCGGAATCGTGCGATCTGCATGCATAATCATTTATTCCAAAAGCGTTAAAATCGGTTTCGATAGGTAGGTTAACGAGCATTTAGGATCTAATGATATTGCTGTTTTCGAGAAACGATATTTCCCTCGATTTTAGATATACTTTTATAATAAGATAAATCCTTTTGTTACAAATCCATTCAGCTTTTGATGGGCTTCGTATCAAAATTCGGGCTGAATTCGATCCTACGAAATGGAATTCTATATTTGTCGATGTGAAAGTTGTTATTGATGAAAGTTGTCGTTTCAAAAGATATCGTTATTATTTGATGAGAAATCTGACGAAGGTGTTATTTAGTTATCCATTTGTTTAGATATGAAACTATGGTTTAACGTTTCTATTAAAATATAAGAGATTTCCTTAATCCTTTCACTCATAATTAGATGTAATTATAAAGCATAGTTTATAAATTTTGTACCTTAAATATTGTTATATATAAAATAAATAAACTTTCTTTCAAAATTTTCGTTTTTAGATTAAAAGATCATTCATTTTTAAGTTTCGTTTTATAACAATTTTCAAGAAATCTCAAAAGAATCTGAAGAAATAATTCTGAAAACAAAAATAGAGAAAAATCAAATAAAAGTAACGAAACAAGATAGAAGTAAATAAACTTTAAATCACGTTTAAACTTTGATACCATCGGCTGTCAATTCGACATCGTGTCGACGTTAAAGAAATTTCTTTGAAGTTGAATCAGTGTTGTTTGTCTTCACACGTGTCTCGAATCTTCTTTCGCGATTATAAAACAATATATAGTTATATCACGTTCGGAAAATCGTGTCTCTTTTCGCATATGTTTTGCAAATATTCTGCTTTGTCTTAGTTTTCTCAAAACAAGAAAGTGTCTACGTCGAAAAGAGGTATTAAGAAAAGAGGAACCGTTTGAGGTAACGGAGATACACTTGTTCGCGATTCCAGCAGTCAAGTCATAAACCTGTCCTCAACTACGTGAGGTCGATGATAAGCAGTTGACTGATAAGGTCGTTGCTAGTGACAGATATTTTCTTCGGTGCATAAAATCGTTCCTTTGAAAAATGATTTCCACATGATGCGAGGAAAAATTTTTTCTTTGTTTTGCAAATATTCTTTTCCTTCGAAGGTTAAGGAACTTAGATTGTGGAATATTAGAATTTTGTTATTATTATTGATAGATTGTAATAATCTTCTTTCCTTTAGAGGAAATTCTATTGTTCCATAATAGTTTTTTCACTGGAATTTTAATTAGAATTATTGAAAGTGCCATTATACTATTTTATAGCGTTCTATTTAATTTTTTAATCTAATCACCAACATATATAAGTTCATCAACATATATTTCAACAGAACAATGTTATTCAAATATTTTACCTATTATTGATATGTGATTTCCTGCTTTCACGTTTTCTGGAACGTGTCCAATTGTACATTTTACTTCATAAATTTCTATAAGCTCGTTCATCGCGCCTTATTGACTTATTGCATAATCGTATAGCGATTAGACTTTGTTTGATTAAAATTGCACACATTCACTATCATGCTTATCTATTTCAATATTTAACAAACAAATCTAGAATTTTTATTTCTCACGTGAGCAAATTGAAAAGCAACAAATTCTCATCTCTATCAGTATGGTAAATTCTATCTTAAATAATTAACAGATTATTATCAAAAATAGCATCAAGACTTCTATGTAAAAATTTTAAATTTAATCCTTTCTTTCATCATTTTTTCTGTAACAAAAAAAAATTTTTACAGTATATAAGATGAGAATACAAAACAATGAATCTATCCAAACAATTTTATTGAAATGGAATGATGAGATTTTTTATAAAATCGTATGGTGCTCTCTTTTGCCGATGACTCGTCGTTAACGAGAGGCGGACGTGCAAACTAGTGGAAACAATTGGTCAATTCGTCCGCGGCTAATTAGAGAATTGCAGCGATGAAAATATCGGCTGACTCTTAATTCGATTCAGCCAATTAACTCTCTTCGTTCTTCCATGGATGACCATCTCGTCTCTCTCGAACAACCAAGTTTCTCAAAGCGTTCTGTTAAAAGATGAGTTTAATAGAACCGATTAAATGGATTCATGAAAAATAATGAAAATTTTTATAGAGTCGAAAAATTTTTGAAATTTTGTGTATAATTAAATTTACTATAATATTTTTTGGTCATAGACATATATACGTTGTTAGACATATACGTTGTTATTTAGTGACAGAAACATGTGGAAGAGAATGACTAAATACTTTCACGATAAAAGTTTTAATATATGCAATAAAGGGTTTAAACATAAAAAATTTTAATTAAATCCTGAAAAATTATTTTAATTAAATTTTGTATGTTTTCCAATATAATATAAGTTATTCTCATTTTTATTTTGTTTTATCATAGAATTAAATTCAATGGATGAAGTGGATCAATATATTTACAGTACTCTATAGTTATCTTTAAGGTAATTATTGATCAAAGGTTGTATGTTTTGAAGAAATGTAATAATAAATTAACTTTATCGAATATAATTTAACTTTTAATTATCTATTTATGGAATTCTATTGGAAAAGTAAAACTTTTGTATGTAATTTAAAATCAATGAATAAGGATTAATGATCATGTGGGGGTTAAACATTTCAAAAGCAGATAATAATTTAATTACTATGTACATAATTTACTAAGCTCAATTTACCATTTGTAACATAGTGTCGTAATTGAAAAGGAAGTTACTAATAAATTAATTATTATATTTATATGATCTTCTACATGCATATAATTTATAACATTGTATTTATAGAAAAGTGATACTTTTATATACACTCCAAATATAATAGCTGATAAAGAGTAAATATTTCAAAGGTAGTGATAAATTAATTGCTTTGCATAATTGCCAACCAAGTTTATTGGGCAAAGGCAATTTATCATTTATGTGATTTATGGTGTTATAATTATTGAAGTGGTAAACTTTTGCATATATTCTATTTGATGAGTTTATAATGATCATTAAGATTCAATTATTAAATGTTGCACTGATAATAATAAATTAATAGATAATAATAATGTTTTATGCGCTCGATTCTTTAAATATTTATCTAAATAAAATTAATAACATTAATATAATATTTTATTTATGATTATATTATATTATTTATGATAATCAGTATAATCAATATATTTACATTAATTTGATTTAAGTATCCAAAGAGAATTAATTTAATGCAATTATAATTAAGAAAGCATTACTTTAGTATTCGATCCTAATTTAATGTACATTGCCTATAAAATTAAATTCATAAACAACACAGATGTCGAGTTCAAAGTTTAGTTCATCTAGTTGTCCTAAGAAATTAGGTCATATCACAACGAAAAAGTGTCACGTGATACGATTATGAATCATACACATGAAATATATTGCGTTTTTTATGTAATATTATAATTTAAATATATTTTAAAAATTCAGATTAAAGAAATAATAATAAAATAAATAATTCTAATAATATTGTTAAAACTTTCTCCTAATTGATAATAAAATTATTGTTTTAATTCTATTTTTTTACGATTTATATTTAAATATATATAAATTTTAAAAATTTTAGTAAAAATTCTCAAACGAGTCTAATTATTATAGGACTCGTTAAAATACAAACGAAGCTATATTAGAAACTTCCCGACAAACAAATGAATTAATTGAACGCAGTTTCGAGCGCACAAACTTTATATTGTGTTCCACAAGAAAATTAATCTATGGATCAGTAGCCCTGTTAGGTAACGTCGCTCGTCAATTCAGAGACGTTAAATAATGACTGATCGTTAAAAGTGGATTATAAAATGAATTACGAGTTGGTAGATAGTTCGAAAGCCTAATAATTTCCTATGTTTTCTCTCGAGTATTCTTTGCTTCATTTGCCTATAAAGAATGTTTAATCAAGGAGAAAATGAGAGAAGAATACCTGTAATATTTATCATCATTGTTAATGAGAATCTTTATCGCAATTCGAGATATGAAATGTACGTGGCAGATATTTATTTCATCAAAGATTGGATCACTGTCTCTTTTGCCTGTGTATACAAGATTTTCCCATTTACAAAGTCATGGTTACATCGGTTGAAATCTGAAAACTTTCAGACTTTTGCCCATTAGATATAGTTTCTCTGCTTTATTCGATAAACAATGTTTTGTTTTTCTTTTTTTTTCCAAGCTACAATGAGAAAAATTTTCGTATTAGATAATTAAATATTAAATTTAATATCAAGATAATTTATAAACGACGTCTGAATATTTGTATAATTTTTAAAAATTTAGAGTGCTTTTGTTAAAATAATAATTGTAAAAATGTTTAATATAACACAAAAATATATTAAATTCTTTGTCTTATTTAGAATAAAGAACGTAACATACTTACATTTAGTTCGAAATTATTTATTGTTTTATATAACAATTGATATATTAGAATTTCATTTAATTATATTATCAACAATGTTTATATGTATTTAGCGTTTTGAATCAAAATATTTTGATATTATTTACGTAGGAATGATCGTATTATTATATCGTTTACATAGATTTTTAAATAATATATTATGTGTGAAAAATTTTGTGATAAATTTAATTCAGGAGATGAATCAGAAATATAAGAAATGTTATCATATATTTTTTCATAATAGTCATTCAAATTGGTTCTCTTATCATCTTTTTAAACATTAATGTTTTGCAATTTTTTATTTGAATTTAATATATTAATTTAAGCATAACCTATTTTATTTCATTCAAACTTAAAAATTGAATATCAAGTATATTTTTAAAATATTAAAATAAAAAAAGGACTTTATAAAATAAAGAATAAAAGAAAAGGAATGTATAAACATCAAATTATATACAGTATAAAATCAAACAAAAATATTTTATATTTATGAATGAATATAGATTTGAGGTTATTTTAACTTTTATTTTGCATCATCAATAATTCATTTCGCATTATCTCTTTTGCTTTGTTATTTTCTAAAACATTTCATATAATTTATAATAATCTTAAAATCTAATCATTTTATTTTCTTTAAATTATTTTCATTTCAAAATTTATAAATCAAATAAATAAATATCACAATGAAAAAATATAGTATAGTATAAATATTCATTGTCATATAACAATATGTAATTTTTCTTAAAATTGTGATTAGTTGTCTTTATAAAATGGTTATTATAATCACTTATCTTTCTTTTAAATTTCTATCATGTACGGTGCACTTTAATGACGCCTTTGATGTCCACCATCTTGCTTTCAAACGAACGATACGATCGTCTACTTCGTTCGATCTCGTAATTATATTTTGAATAAGCGTAACGATATATCGAAAGAAAAGAGGCTGTTTGTAAACGATCAGAGGATCGCAAAGTCGTGTCTTCGATGTGTGTTTCTTCTTGTTGGGTACTCCGGACCTGGAGGTGGGGGATGCGCCCGAAGAGACAGTCTAGGCCGAGTGCCTCGACGTGTATAAATACAAGCAGTCGGCTTCGTTCTCGCTTAGTCGCTGCGATACTCGATTCTCGTGACGGCATGTCGATTCAAGTGTGTGTACCCTGATATCTCGATTTATCGCAATCGGCTATTGTCGCGAAGTGTAAGCAAAGTAGATGCACGCGTGCCCGCAATCCGATACGTTTTATAATAAAGTTACGAAAAAGAAAAAGAGAGAAAAAGTGAGAGAAAGTTGCATATTTTTTTCCCCGATTACGCACTTATCTTCTTCTTCTTTTATACAAGACGCACATCCTACACAGTCACAGTTTCATCAAAGTATCGAAAGATTGCGCGTGTCACGTGTTTTTCGTTATACTCGATCGCGCGCTCGATTTTGGTCTATCGGCATTGCAACAACGTCACGTCGGTATCGCGACGGGAAAAGAAGTGTGTTCAACATTGCCGGCATCATTGGACCAGACGTCAAATTCTCTATAATTCGTTGCCACGGTTTCAGAAGAAAACGAATACCGTGGTTTAACGTCGCTATCAGAAAATCGAGTCATTAACCTAAAAACCGTTCCTCTTTCGACAGAAAACGGAAAAAATGCTCGTAGTTTCATCATAGAAATCGTAAAAGAGAAGAAAGACGAAATTCAATTGGAAAGAAAAAATTTATCTTTTTTCGCTAAAGACGTTCGACAAATCATCAAATTCATTTCGAGTGATTCTAGATACATTTCAGCTTCAAACGCCTAGGACCTCTGACGGTTTGAGAACGAAACAAAGGTCGAATTGTTGATGTCTTTAAAGACGGGAACGAGTTTCCAACAAGGGCTCTCGACTTACTAGAAAATAGAGAAACAAACTACAAGCAAAAGCGCGAGGTAGTCGGTCGACCACCGTTGGCTGGTTCCGCGCACGATTCTCTTGGGTCAACGATCTGTTGGTGGATCTCACACTTGAGCTGTTCTTGGTATACACATACCTGCGGACAGGTCCGCTCGATACGATATAGGTTCGTGTTCAGTCGCGTTCATTGGATATACGCGCGTATTCGTTCCGATAACACGTTTCACGAGGAGTGAAAAGGCGGTCACTCGGTACGCCGCCGTGGCTGCTTTCACCGGCGATGGAATAATGCCGATCAAGCCTTAACGGTACGCAACTCATGCCTTCTCATATTTTTTTTGCAAACAAAAATGATCGCGGATCTCGGGTGATTACGGTGTGCAGTGTGTCGCGAGAGTTTTGAAGTGGTTTTATTCTTCATTGTTAATATAGTGTCGCGAGTGTCTCGGTGTTATTGGTTACTAGATAATATAGTGAAACGTGGATACGCTTCGTTTAGCCGAATCTGGTGCCCGCTTCGTTTCGAAGATTTCGATCGATTCGGTCACATAGCATGGAAACCAAGATGTACATCAGCAATGAGCCACAGAACAACGGTCATGTAACTGCCAAATACGCATCTACAAACTCGATCCCGTCTATAATGGAGAAAGAATCGTCTTTCGCTAAACTTATTGGCGCTGTTGGCAGAAGGGATTCAAATGCTATATTGCGCGATAATAAAGGAAGAAGGCACAGTGTGCTTGAAGATTTAAAGGCACGAAGGGATAGTTTATTTCAAAAGGCAAGACGCGGCAGCGTCGTAGAAGAAAAAGAAAATACGAAACAAGTACAGAAAGAGAAAAGACGTGCTAGCGAGAGTGGTAGAAGGTGTTCGGTTTTCTACGTGTCACAGGATCTCCTCGAGGAAAATCAAGAATTGCTCGAGAACGAAAGAATACAGGCGGACCTTGAGGGGAAGAAGGGTCGTAGAAAATCATGGCATATTCTTGCAAAACCACCGAAACTCGATCGCAAAAGAAGAAAAGGGATCGCTGGTGTCCCGTCACCGTCACAGGTTGGAAGCACGGATGGACTTTACACACAAGCTAGACAGAAGAGGCCTTCCTGGTGGAACATATTCGTACCTGATTCCGTTGTGAGGTATTTATTGTTGTATGTCGCGTTTTATTTACATATGTGTTTAAAAATGCAAGTCTCTTGTGAAATTTTTGGACGTTAATAAGGAGATTTATTATAGTTTATATGCTATTTTATGTCTTTTATTTATATGGAAGAAGCTTTAGTGAGTGTATCGTGTATAAAAGAGCAAACGTGAATGTCGTTTCGTTTTCGACTGAAATTGCGTTTCATAGTTTTCGCATCAATAATTTCAAACAAGACCGATTTTACATTATTCTTTTTTGGTTACAATGGTTTATTTCTATGGAAATTAAGTAAATAAATTATAACGTGAATGTTTTATATCATATAATATTTTATATCATACTTTATTTTTCGCTTAATATAATTTGAATAAAGGTTATGATTTATTACGATATGATAGACGATAGCGGTAGAATAGATGAAGGTATTTATTAATCAGTGATACCACTGTCAGAAAAACAATCTCCATTAATTTAAAAATGAACTAGAATTAATATAGAGTTTGTTATTGTTCAATTCTATTATATCATTGTCAACAAACATAGTTACTATAGTGATTTTATTTCAAGGAAAGAATCGCAAAACAGATGCATCATATAAATATTTAGAAAAGTCTACGTGATTGAAGTCGTAATCCGGGTCGAATAATCATGTCACTTTTCAGACAATCGCATTACCATCTGCGATAATAACATACACAGTTCTAACTGAATTCAAGCAAAATGTGTTTGTATTATGTAGTAGTCGAGTGGAAAGTGCCTTGTGATAAAAACATTTGCACGCATTCCTCTAAAACCGTTAGTATTTCTGTATCAACTGTCGTGACGTCATGCCAATTTGTCGATAAGTCAGCTGTACGTTCACGATAATAGATTTAAATTATCATTCTTAAATCGTTCAATTAGAAAATAGTAGTTTCTTGAAATCATTTCTTTTAAATTATAAATTTATTGCAAATGAATCCTTGATTTATGACATTTTATCTAGCGATGTTTGATCTAGCGTATTGTCTGAAACGGGAAATTTTTATGGAGTTCCCTTCAGCGTTTGTTGGTAATTCCACGATTTTTCCTTATCTTTAAACGCGGAAATCGAATATATGTGTATTTTCGTTCGTTGAAAATACAATCTCACATCGCGTCATCTCGATCATATAAAATTGATCCGCCATGTTGATAGAAATATCGAAGGAACGCAAATCGATTTTTTGAAACTACGTCATCAGTATCGATTTTCGAGACATCGCGTCCATGTTTGTCTACAATTGCGTACAATTATACTTCGAATTATTTCTTTATTTTTGAAAATATTATAAAATATTTAAAATTAAATTCCTTTTTTAATTTTTTTCCTTTATTGTTTATGCGTTTAACACAAAAAGAATATAACCTGATACAAGTAAGTATTATCTATACTTGTTATTGATATTTTAATCTCAGTTAATTGATCATTGCTTCCTAGTGCTTCTGCCAATAACAAAGCTATATCAAATTGACAACGATAATTGTAAATATCATTCGACATCAATATTTTGATCGTTTAATTACCATAACAAAAAGTCTGACCTTCGCGATATGATTATTCAACTGTTTTTTTATTGCTAACTAAACACTAATTTTATTGCTGTTCCAAGCATCGGCATAATTATCTTCATTAGTTTGATAATCGAATATATTTCATAAAGGAATGTTGTAATCTTATTTTTGTTACATCATCAAGCAAATTTAGTATTCTTTTTTTTTATTTTTCAGTTAATTTCATATTGTATACTTGTATCGATTATCATC